ATCAAGTAGGATTTATTCCAGGGATGCAAGGATGGTACATTTGAAAATTCATCAACATCATCCACCACATCAACAAAAAGGACAAAAACCACATGATCATCAGATCCTGAAAAAACATTTGACAAAATTCAACATCCATTCATGATAAAAACTCTCAACAAAATGGGTATAGAGGGCAAGTACCTCAACATAATAAAGGCCATAGATGACAAACCCAGAGCCAACATCATACTGAACAGCGAGAAGCTGAAAGCTTTTCCTCTAAGATCAGGAACAAGACAAGGATGCCCACTCTCCTGACTCTTATTCAACATAGTACTGGGGGTCCTAGCCAAGACAATCAGACAACATAAAGAAATAAAAGGGATCCAGACTGGTAAGGAAGAAGTTAAACTGTCACTGTTTGCAGATGACATGATATTGTACATAAAAAAAAATAAAGACTCCACTCCACAACTACTAGAACTAATATCTGAATTCAGCAAAGTTGCAGGATATAAAATGAATACACAGAAATCTGTTGCATTCCTATATACTAACAATGAAATAGCAGAAAGAGAAATCAGAAGAACAATTCCATTCACAATTGCATCAGAAAGAATAAAATACCTAGGAATAAACCTAAGCAAGGAAGTGAAAGACCTATACCCTGAAAACTACAAGACACTCTAGAGAAATTAAAGAGGACACTAATACGTGGAAATACAATTAATATTGTCAAAAAGGCCATCCTGCCTAAAGCAATCTACAGATTCAATGCAATCCCTAATAAATACCAACAGCATTCTTCAACGAACTAGAACAAATAGTTCTAAAATTCATATGGAACCGCAAAAGACCCTGAATAGCCAAAGCAATCCTGAGAAGGAAGAATAAAGCAGGGGGGAATCTCGCTTCCCACCTTCAAGTTCTACTACAAAGCCACAGGAATCAAGACAATTTGATACTGGCACAAGAACAGACCCATAGACCAATGGAACAGACTAGAGAGCCCATATATAAACCAACACATATAAGGCAAATTAATATGATAAAGGAGACATGGACATACAATGGCGAAATGACAGCCTCTTCAACAACTGGTGTTGGCAAAACTGGACAGCTACATGTAAGAGAATGAAACTGGATTATTGTCTAACTCCATACACAAAAGTAAACTCAAAATGGATCAAAGATCTGAATATAAGTCATGAAACCATAAAACTCTTGGAAGGCAACATAAGCAAAAATCTCTTGAATATAAACATGAGCAACTTTTTCATGAACATATCTCCTCAGGCAAGGGAAACAAAAGCAAAAATGAACAAGTGGGACTACATCAAACTAAAAAGCTCTGTACAGCAAAGGACACCATTAGTTGAACAAAAAGGCATCATATGGTTTGGGAGAATATATTTGTAAATGACATATCCAGTAAGAGGTTGACATCCAAAATATATAAAGAGCTCACATGCCTCAACACCCAAAAAGCAAATAACCCAATTAAAAAATGGGCAGAGGATCAGAACAGACACTTCTCCAAAGAAGGAATTCAGATGGCCAACAGGCACATGAAAAGATGCTCCACATCGCTCAGAGAAAGGCAAATTAAAACCACAATGAGATATAACCTCACACCAGTTAGGATGGCCAACAGCCAAAAGACAAGCAACAACAAATGCTGGCAAGAATGTGAAGAAAGGGGAATCCTCCTACACTGCTGGTGGGAATGCAAATTAGTTCAACCATTGTGAAAAGCAATATGGAGGTTCCTCAAAACACTAAAAATAGAAATACCATTTGACCCAGGTATTCAATTCCTAGGAATTTTACCCTAAGAAAACAGGATCACAAATTCAAAAAGACAATACACACCCCTAGGTTTATCGCAGCACTACTTACAATAGCCAACATATGGAAGCAACCTAAGTGTCCATCAGTAAATGAATGGATAAAGAAGATGTGGTCCCTATACACAATGGAATATTATTCAGCCATAAGTAGAAAACAAATCCTACCATTTGAACAACATGGATGGAGCTAGAGGGAGTTATGCTTAGTGAAATAAGACAGGCAGAGAAAGACAAGTATCAAACAACAAAGCAAAAACTGAAGGAACAAAATAGCAGCAGACTAACAGAACCCAAGAATGGACTAATGGTTACCAAAGGGAAAGGGACTGGGGAGGGTGGGTGGGAAGGGAGGGATAAGGGGATTAAGTGGCATTATGATTATCCCACATAATATAGGGGGGGCACGGGGAAAAAAGTATAGCACAGAGAAGACAAGTAGTGACTCTATAGCATCTTACTACGCTGATGGACAGCGATGACTATAACGGGGTATGTGGTGGGGACTTGATAATAGGGGGAATCTAGTAACCACAATGTTGCTCATGTGAAACCTGAGCATATATCAATGATACCTTAATAAAAAAAAAAGAATTTATAACTTAAAAAAAAAACGTCAGGGGGAGAATGTTTGCTTTCCTCATGTCACTCACGTGGTAAAAATCCAAAAGCCAAAATTAGGTGAAAGATGCCTTAGAAAGGCAGACTGTAGGCCAGGCCTCAGGTTGGAGCAGCCTCAGTCTCCAAAGGCCAGCTCAAGTTCAAAGATCCCCGTACATCTCCCAGGGACACACTGCAACCGTAAAGTGCCATGATGACCCTTTCTTTCAGTGACTGCTGACTTCTTTTTTTTTTTTAAACACATATTTTCCTTTCATATTTATATCTTATTCAACTTACTTGCCTGGTTTTTTTTTTTGTATCATTAATCTACAATTACATGAGGAACATTATGTTTACTTGACTTCTTATTCAGAGAAAACTTACTTGGTAAAATACCAGACTATCAAAATGTGGCTGTTTGAAATTAAACCAGTAAGAAGGAAGCATCCCACTCTCTCCTGCAGGATGGAGTCACTGTGACCCAGAGTTTCCAGCTAGCTGCATAGCTTAATGAGGAACTTTAGACACACTGTTCCATGTCTAATTTTGTAGTTTTCAAAGAACTCGGACCTGGGTCCACTGCCGTGAGACGTGATACTGACCCCACACACAGCCCACTTTGCTAGGCGGCCATCAAAGCTTGGTTTCATTCACACTCCACCTAAATCCCACCCTGCCCCATATCCTAGAGCAACTCTGCCCTTTCCTTTGCTGGCAGGACACCCCCAGCTCCTCTGGTGTGTGGTCTCTCTAGTTACATGAGCCAGGATACCTGACCTTGTCAGACCTCAGGTCCTTCCTGGCGGTTGTGGACTGGACACTCACTCAGAATGAAATGACTGTGAAACAAGCAACAAGAAATGCCAAGAGGGAGTCAGATAGAGGGTTGTGAGATTGAAAGACAGGACTGGGCCAGAGATAAATCCCAGAGCCCTGGCATCAAGATAGAACCTGGAGCTATGAGTGTGCATGAGCTTACCATGGAGAGCCCATGGAGGGAAAGGGGACCCAGGCCTGCACCTCAAGCCACTTCACTAGCTGAAAGACTACCGCAGAGGATGAGTCAGAAAAGCAGACTGAGAGGTGACCAGAGAGGTGAGTGGAAAAAAAAGTGACGACACAGCCTGGGAAAGGCCAGGGGCTGCAAGGCAAGATCTCCTAAAATGCAACTGATCAAGTTACCACAGATTCACTTGTGGCCCTCACTTTTACAAGCACAGTAATTTGATTTTGGCAGAGAAATGATCTCCAAAGATTGATATGTGCTAACAAATTCATGAGATCCTGATGCATTTTTCAGAATGCCCATTTATTAATTTGCAATAAACCACACAGCAGGCTGACATACTCTGCTACTAGTCAGCACTTTCCTTCCCTGAAGATAAACGTACACAGGCTAACTGTTCTCAGAAAGTTGCTGGATGTGGAAGGGATCAGAAACAGAGAAGTTAAGAGACCACTGACTGAGAGATATGATAACCAGTGACATGGAGCACATCTAGCAGGGTCCCAATGGGAAACAAATCAACCCAGATATTGAGAGTTCATGGGAAGAACTACCTAAGAGACCGAACAAGGACTGGTGAGGCCCCAAGGGACCAGCAAACAGCTCTCCAGCTGAAGGAATGAGGGGAAGAGCTGTTACTGGAGCCAACTGAGAGCTGGACTGTGGAGGAGGCCCCTGGAAGGGAGTGACAGGTTTGGAGGGAGAAGACACCCCAACCTCTCCCCACCACTGCACCCTTCCATTGGTGAGCCCTACTGGCAGCCAGCAAAGCCAGAGGCACAGCCCACAAGTGTCCAGCCCACAGAGCACACACCACAGGGCAGAGAGAGAATACACAGGACAGGTACCACAGCTGCCCCCTTGACCAGACACATCTGCACAAACCAGGAACGTGCACTGTTAAGTCCAGATGGCTTCTCATATGGACTAGCAACAGAGACCCGGCCTGGGCACCCTAGACACACCTCTTCTAGAGCCACACCCAATTAGGCAAGTGTGGAATCAATTCCAGAATATCTCCAGTAACTTCAATAGGCTCCTGGACTGACATGTGAAATAAAGGCTCAGTTCAAATCTCAAAAGTCTGAATGGACAAGTCTTAGCAACCCTGAACTTAATCAGTGGTAGAAACTGACCCATCCATCAACCAGGAGACAAGAAAACACATCTATCTCAACAGACACATCTAACTTCATGTAAGGTTTCCACATGGCAAGAGTCTTAACTTTAGCAAGTAAGGATTTAACTTTTAGGGTAGAGCTTTTCAGTCACAAAGGTACAGAATTTTTCTATCGAAGAAGAGAAATGGAGAGAAAGAGAAGCTGGCGATAGATACTCTAGAAACCTGACCACCCTTCCTCCAACACAGATCAACGTATGCACGAGTTACCCACTGAGGGAACCTCCCTTTCTTATGTCTCGTCTGACTCTCAAGTGTAATGAAAAGGGCTGTAACAGAAGCCTAACATTTATTTGCTATTACATTACAGTTATTTACGTAACGTAAATCTGCTGGAACTGCTTCTTGTCACCACCAATGACTGCTAAAGAGGAAGACTCACTTTTTTCTATGATTTTTAACTTCTGGAAGCTTTCCAATACTTCTCCATTTAGTATTCTGGGTAAGAAGTCCCGGATTTGCATCACTTCAGTTGTCAGCCTTTCCAAGTCCTTCTTTCTGACTTTCACAAATTCTTCTTTAGTTCCCATGTGCTAAAAGAACAAACAGATCTTAAGATTACATTTCTCTTCAGATGACTAAAACCAGCAGCTCAGGTACCTTGCTCCCTTTTCTTTAATGCTTTGTGTTCATAATTGTTTCAGAACCATGTCTTTACCTAACGTGTCCTCTGCTATGTTACTACATTGGAGAGCGAAGCCCCAGACTCCCCTATGGGGGCCAAGTTTTCTTAAGGGTGCACGAGACCCTATTCCTGAAAGCCAAAGAAAACGCCAGCAATTTTTTCATAACGTTTCGGCACCACGCCAACCAGGAAGAAAAGAGAATTATTGGGTTCCTGCTGGGTGTGCCGAGCCCTTTGCTGGGCATCTCACTCAGTGATCCCCGCCACCTTTCAAGGCTGTCCAGGTCAGAATCGGAGGCACCGGGGTCGGAACCAGGACCCGGACACGGGTCTCTCCTCCTCCCGCACAGTGGGAGTGGTAACTGGTCAAGCTGCCACCCGGGTTGGCTCTGAGCCTTACACTAAGTCCTGAACAAGTATCAGGGCCAGAGGGGCGCGCCTGCCACCTCCCACGCTCGCACCCACCACCCCACCTCCCGGCCCAGGCCACGCTGCCTGTGGACGACGGCCAGGGCCTCCAGGGCACACTGAGCGAGGCCCAGGTGAGACGCAGCACGTTGAGCGGAGGCGAACAGTGCCGGCTCGGACACACGGGTGAAGGCCTGGGCTTCCCCACTGACCCGGCAGGTCTCCTCAGGGCTGCGCGCCTCGCACATCGCGGCCGCGGCCTCGCCTCCGTGCGCCTGCGCAGTGGCGCGCCCTCTGACCCTTCACGCCAGAAAATGTGGGAACGTGTCCACGCCAGGAGGGTTGCGTACAGAGAGCCATGAGACGCAAACCTCCTCTAGTTTGCGCAGCATTCTCGAACAGGTGGATGGAGGATGGGCTTGGCGAGATCCTGTGTCAGCTCTTTGGTTTGCTTAGTCGGGATTTTTAACTTGTTAACTGTAAAGTAGGGCAGTGAAACTCACGTGTAAATGGTAAATGAAATAAATGGAATTGGACCTTTCCTGTTAGCGGAGGAACGCTTGTTAGAAAAAGCATAAAACCTAAACGTGATTTATTACCACCAGGAGGTTTAAACATTTTAACAATAGAGTATAAACAAAGAGCCACGTGGTGGAAAATATGCCAGGAAGCTGCTCAGGCTGAGAGTGGGGGGTAGGAGGGGAATTGGTAAGGGCCTGGCTATACCTGTTTGATTTTTTTAAACCTACCAATGAAATTAAGACAAATGTGGATATAATTGGCTTAGGCGACGTCCGGTAAAGAATGTGAACCATGTAGTACTCAGCCAATGAAGAACAAGAGAAGGGACTCGAGTACTAGGGAATAAATTACTCGGCGCCAACAGCCTCAGGTGTGCCTGCCCACCAGACACCCGATCTTGCAAGACCTTCATTAAAGCCTCACTCCACCATTCTCTTTGTCTACATGTCCACTTATTGAGTTTGGACCAGTGAGTGTGTTTCTCACACGCTAAAGCACCATGTGTTCAAGGGAACCACCACCCGTACAGCCAGTGGCCCTGCTTCCACGCTCAGCACTAAGCTCCATTTGCAAGGGCAAAGCTTTCCGACAACAGGCCCCTAGGATAGGGTGTCAGTCCGAGCAGCTGGCCCAGTAGCTGAGATGTCCTTCGTGAACTTGGAGACGTCACCTAGTGTATGCATTGCCCCAACATGCCCACTGATGGCAAAGTAACGTGCAGGCTATGCGTTCAGATGTACCAGGTTACTGCACAGCTACGACTTCATGTCTCTGAAACCCGCAGGAAGTCAACACTGGCCGAGTTCCGGAGTGCGTACTCTCCAGTCGAGGGCAGACCCAAGATCATGGACTCCCCATCCCTGCCTCTGCACCTGCCCTGCCCCTGGTCCTGACACCCCCGCACCTAACCTGCTCCTGCCATCTCCTGAACGGGAAGCTGCCCCTGCGCTGACATGTCCTGCTTGGGGAGCTACCCCTGTACCAATCCAGCCCTGACATCTCCTGCACCAGGAGCTGCCCCTACTCTGATATGTCCTGCCCGGGGAGCTACCCCTGCCATCCCCAGTACCTGTCCAGCCCTGACACCCCCTGCACCAGGGGCCGTCCCTGCTACCCCCTGTACCTGCCCTGCCCGGATCCTCCACCGGCAGTACAGGCCCAGGCTGGGCCCCCACCAGAGCGGCCCCCTTGATGGGGTTGCTCCCAACATGCCGCTAAAAACCCCTCTTCCCAGTCTCCACCCCGCCGAGGCGACCCGAGGAGTTCAATAGTTAAAAACTCGGTCCCATGTACTTCACAGGACAGCTGCCAATCGCACGGCGTTTTTGTGGGGTGCCTTAAGGGCTCTAGATCAGTTAAAACCGGTCCTCCGTCTCCTCCCGGCCAAGACCCATCGCTGCCTAACCTCGCTGACAAAGCCCAGAGCTTTGGCAACCAAAGACAGAGAGCGCGCGAGAAGGGGCGACGCGGACAGGGGCTGGCCGCTCAGCCTGCTGCGGGCCGCCGCGCTCGCTCCCAGGGCGCGCTGCGCGTCGTGGCCCGCGGCCGGGGCTCCGTGACGTCATTAGCGCGCGCTGCCGCCACCGCCTTCGCCTTCTGCGCAGTCGCGGTTCCGGCGACTCCAAGGCTGTCACTCCGCGCGGCGGGAGGCTGAGAGGCGGCGGGCAGGGTTGGGGATGCTCGAGCGGGCGCAATGGCCCCCGCCATGCAGCCCGCAGAGATCCAGTTCGCTCAGCGGCTGGCGTCCCACGAGAAGGGCATCCGAGACCGGGCGGTGAAGAAGCTGCGCGAGTACATCAGCGTGAAGACGCAGAGGGAGACAGGTGGGCTGCCGGCGGGCAGGCGCGCCACATGGCGGCGGGCGGGGGCCTGCCGCGTGCCTCCGTGTTCGCACCGGCGGACCCGCTTCCTGCTGCTTCTAGTCCGGTTTTACGGCTGAGGGACTGCCGCCGACAGGACTAGGTAGTCTGCTGAAAGCCAGAGAGTGGGGAGGCTGAGGGCAGACCCAGCCTGTTCTCCAAGAGCCTGCACCCGGAGTCACTAGACTCAGCCTCGTTTATTCTGGGGTGCTTCATTGATTCACGCTGTCGTTTTACCAACACATTTAGGCGTTGGGGTCACAGGAGACGAGACAGCATCCCTGCTCTAGAAGAATTTGTACATTTGGGGGGTGGGGGGATAGATAACCAAAATAGAGCTTATGTAAGTCTAGTAAAGGAAATGGAAATCCGGAAAAGCGCTTCTCTACATAAGCTGTCCCAGGATCGCCTCTCAGCGGTGATGTTAACAGGTCTGAACAGAGGCGGGAGAGCAGAGCCTGCCTTAGAAGCGTCTGGAAGACAAGGGAGGGAGGATGAGGGTGTCAGGACAGAAAGTTGGAAAGCAGGCAGCGGCCAGGTCACACAGATTTGTAGTTTGGATTTTAACTGCAGTGGGGTGCCGTTGAAGGATTTCATTTACCGGATCCAAAATACATTCGTAAACCCTCGAGGTTGTGAACTACAATAGTAATGGAGGTTTTATGTTTTGCTGAGATACAATTTTTTACTGCTAATACTGATGCATTTGGAGCCTACTTGAAAGAATAAATATTACCTCCCCCTGTGCTGACATTCTCAGTTGTTTTTATTTTGAAGAGAAATCACAAAAGACTACCCAGGAAAGAGAAAATACAATTTGATGGGAAGTCTGCTGGAAAGGAATGAAGACCAGATTCCTGACCTAAGTCTGTTAGAGCCCTCCCTGAGATTGGATTTATTATGGTTTCAGGTATCACATACGTCCTGAAAGTTCCTGAACCTAAATTCCTAGCCCAAATTTTTGCTACTTTCAGCTCAAAAATACTCTCTATGTGGATGTCCTCCAGGCACCTCAGACTCAGAATGTCCAAAAGTGACTCGTGTTCTTCCCCCCAAAACTTGTTCTCTTCTGCTGCCTCTGCTCTCTTATTTGGTCTCCGGGAGGACACCGGCATAGTCCTGGACTCCTCTCCTTCATCTTCTCCCCCAGCCCTCAGTTCTACTTGTACCATCTCCTGAATTGCTCTGCCCTCTTTATCTCATCTAGGCTTCTGAGCTTGCTTGCTTCCTAACTGATGTCCTTAACACCATTTGTGTCCCCCACAAACCTGTTCTCCGCAGATCAGCCCAGAGTTGTTTTCCCAAAACAGCTCTGATCACACCACCACCTTCCTGGAATTGCAGGTGTGTGGGTTATGATGCCTTTCTGTTCCCACCTCAACCCGCCCCCCACCACCAGTGTGACTGCTTCACTGGTTCCTGGTATAATGCACACCATTTCTCAGCTCTGCCTTTGCATCTCCTGTTCACTCTGAGAAGCTCCCCACCCTTGGTGCACTCCCACCATTCTACTCAGTACCCACTTCCTCCAAAGCGCTTTCCCTGTCATCTCACCTGCACTCCCATAGGATTCCAAAATACCCAGTGTGTATTGTAACACTGAACTACATTGCTTCTTAATTATCTGTTACTGTGTCACTTTTCCCCCAAAACATTGAGAGGTTCTATTTTCTTAGCTGGAAGTGGGAGCACATCCAGGCATATGAGGGCCTGTGTGTGTACAAGAACAGAAGACCAGATATAATGCCTGTGGACTGAGACGGTCAGACGGAGCCTGTTGTTCACTCCCCTTTAGTGAACAGGCCCCAGGATGTGCAATTCTCAGATGACACGGGCCTGAGACCAGAGTGCTTACACCAGTGCCATGCAGCCTGTCTGAAGCACCCATCATACCTAGAGTTACTTAGCTTGTGCCTCTTGTTTACCACCACGTCCACATTGCATGGAGAATAGCAAGCCTTCAAAAAAATAACTGCAAAGTGATTGTTATAGATAGTGATGATAGGACAAAATATACAAGGTCTCTGCCACAGCTGTGCCCCATCAAAATAGAAATGCAAGTTCAGAAATAACTTGGCCTGACATTTGAATCTCATTGACCGGCTCAGATTTTTTTGCCTCGTCTTAGGCACAGTAAAGGAAATCTGGAATGTTACATATTAGTATAACTGCCCATCAGCAACATTGATAGCTTTGTGATTTTGAAAACAAAATTGGAAATCTCTGTAGAGCTAGAAGCAACTAAACGTTGCTCTGTTCGTGTTCAGTCTTCACATAGTGTGGTCACTGTCTGCAGTCTTACCCAAGGGCTGCGTTCTTTGCCCCTCTTCACTCATTCTTGTATTCAGCACAGACATGTGCGCACCTGCTATATGCTGTTCTTATCTTGGCACTGGGAATACAGTGAAAAAAACAAACTTCCCTGCCTCTTTTGTCAGTTCTGCAGCTTTAAGTATTTAACATGGACTGAAATTGGGCTGTATTGTGCAATCAGCCTGTGACAGTTCGTTTGTACTCTCACTTTTGTTCGGTAGCACAGGAAATAATGGTACACCTTACAGGTGGTGGCGTCTTAGACTCATTGGTAGTAATGGGGGAAATATGTGTATATTCATACTGATAGGGTCAGGGGTCTCTAGAGCCGTGGGTTTTAATAATGAGGAGCTGTGGATGCTTTCACACAGTGTCAAGTACGGTCAAGTATAACCCCTCACCCCACCCCCCTGGCCTATGCTCATTTCCTGGAGGGAGTGGCTGTTGGATTTTCTAACTTCTCAGCTCTTTGGTATTTCCTTACCCTCATCTCACTTTCATGCTCACCTATGTTGTTGTCAGAAACTTAACTGTATTAAGAAACTCAACCCCAGGCAGAAAAGACAGATCTAAACACAATCCTGGAAGGAAACTGCCTCAGCTAATGTGCTTTACCTTCAGGGTTTCTAAAGAAATTAAATAATGAGCATTTCTCTGGTTTGCTTTAAATGCTTCAAAACTGGCTTCTTGTTTTTACCTGCTAAATTCCTGTTTACTAGCTAAATTCCTGGATGAAAACAAGTGGTCTGTGTGTATATAGAAAATAGATGTTTTAAAAGGAGAAAGAGCCTCAACAACCTATGGATAGAAGACGTAAGACCAACTGAATAGGTGCTTTGTTCTTATGCAGTGCTTCTTATACATATTCTTAATTTTGACCCTGACCATAAACCTTATAGGTATTATTGGTGAGGAAACCGATGCTAAAAGATCATAATATACCCAGTACTTGCTTACATTCACCTAGTTTATCCTACTTAGCTCTTCCAAAAGATTTGTCTTTGTACCTCCTAGTGAAATGTTAATGAAGACTGTTCATAACATCCATCAAGACGCGAGGATTATGCTTGCTCTCCATAGGCTTGGAAACGACAGGTGTGTGCTTTACCTAATGTGCGGCTCCTCACATTTCTCAGCTTTGTCCCGTGGCCTGTGGGCCCCAGGAGGTAGAAAAGTGTGCGCAGCTTGTGGTTTGGTTGTAGACGGTGCCAGCAGATGTCGGATGCTTGAATGATGAGTCAGAACAAGGCTAACACGCTGATGCCATTTAAAATAAGATTAACATTGCCCAGTAAATGAAGACCGTAACAAGGAGGCAGGGAGCTCAGGGTATAGACAAGTTTAACCTCAAAGGAGTCATCTTTGCAAAAGTATCCCAAAGTTTCACCAGTTTCCCCAGGGCCAGCTGTATGGAGCTTGAGCAAATCCTGAATCTTTTGTAGGGTTTGCAGTTTACTTTGCAAGATCAGTGAAAATGCTGGTGTACAGGGTGAGATGCTAGCTTTCAGCAGAGCAGGGCACTTAGGGGAATTCATCCTATAAAGGTCCGCACCATTAGCTGGGTTTTTGTTGTGATGACCTTGGCTTTCTTCGATTACTCAGATAATGCAGGCGACGCCACTGCCAGCCTGCCCCATCGCTAATAAAACTACGTTTATGTATGTGTTTATTATTTATATGTGTTCATTTGTAACAATGAGGAATTGTATACTCAAATGACAGAGGGCTTGTGCAGGTGAGTGAATGAATTCCATATGGTATTGTTTTCAGTGCTGGAGTTCGGGGACTCTAAGATGGGGTCTTTGTGCTGTTTTGCCTTTAGGAGGTTTCAGTCCAGAAGAACTTCTAAAAATCTGGAAAGGACTCTTCTACTGCATGTGGATGCAGGATGAACCCCTTCTACAGGTAACCTGCAGTCCCTTCACCGTAATCCTATGCTTTGGGGCACAGATGGGTGAAAGAGACTTGCTTTCTAATCCAGATCAGCCTCTTGAGGTACCCCAGCAAACTGAAAATCATTGCCTCAGGAACTCCATGTTCACCTCCCTTGTCCATTTGGGAGGAACTCAGTGCCCAAGCAGTGAGGTTAATTATCTTTCCAAATAAGGAAGAATACACACAAATACAAATCTGTTATTTCTCTGTCCCGGGTTCATAGGTTCCATGGTAGGTTTTATGTGACTGACTTTGAGGGTTATGTTTCATCTGCTATTATTTGTGGTCAGAAATGGCATGGCACCAGTCTGAGGGGCTTCGGGCCCTCCTCTGGCACAGCTTGAGCTCCCCTGGGCCTGAGGGCCACTTTGCTGGGTCAGAGCAAGCAGTAGCCCCACATCTGATGGCCCACCCTGAAAGTCACTCCCTGGGAACTTGGCAAAGACATCCATGTACTTCTGGGCCCTGTCTACTGAGCACACTGAGCCGTACCACCAAAGCTGAGTGAGAAAATGCTTTTCACTGTTTAAAAAAAGCCCTGCTCTGTTCTGGTGTGTTAAAGCAGACCTGCCTCTGTGGAAGCAGACGCTCCGCCTGGAGGAACGCTGAAACCTTCTGATGCATAAAATACACGCCACGGGCAGATTTCACTTGCCTGGGTTTTGATGGGCAGCTTTGCCATGTTTCCCAAGCCATGGAATAACTTGCTTCGATTGGTTGCCTTTACTAGACTGAACATATTTTGAGTAGGATAGCAGGGCAAAATATTTTAAAATTATATTCTAAAGTAACAACCAACAGCTTTAGTGGAGGAAGAAAACAGATGAGCAGGAGCATTATATTCAAGTCTGGGAGTCCAGTTAGAACGGGTGAGAACTTGAGTTCACGTGCAAGGACTACAGACGGGACCATATGTTCTGATCAACTGAGAGCAGAATTCTGCTGACACTCTCCAAGATAGGCTTCTTTGTAGCCCAGACCACCAACCTCCCCCCGAAAATGTCTTGCTGCGTCTTAGCAGGATGTGCTCCGCAGATGGCTCTGTTGCCTAAGACAGAGCCTGGAGGTGCTGTCACCCTTTGCTCTCTGCACCCCCCACCACTGCAGCCTGTCCCCAAGAGAGCCAAGGAGAGGGCCTCCTGGTTCCCCACACTGAGCGTCACAGAGTGAGTCCCAGTGTCTAACCCCAGCAACTCCACTCCCAGCAACTGGCATCTGTGTTTTTATTATTCTGGGTATTAGGATAAAATCTCAGTTTAGGTTAGAATATATTTCTAAAGCCAGGAATTGACAGCTAGTTCATTTCTTCTGTAGGTCTTTTGATGTGATAACCAGCAATACTTTTTTAAACATGTAACTTAAAAATTTTTCAGGGGCATATTCAGTAGGCATAATAGCCCATTGAAGTTGGGGATTTTACATTTGATAAAATTCAAACATTCCCATAGCGAGAGGTTTGAGCCCCTCCCCTGGCAGATGGAAGGAGGAGCAGGCGACCCTGCCACAGAGCTGCCACGTAATGACCCAGCGTTTCTCCCCACCCACCCTTGTAGGAGGAGCTCGCGACCTCTCTTTCCCAGCTCATCCATGCTGTCAACAACTCAGAGGCTCGTAAGTCCCGGTATTTTCCTGACTTTAAAAACTTCGTGTTCATCAGATTCAGTAGCTCGCCTGGGAATCTAGTCTCTGCTGTCACTTCTTCCTTCCTTCAGAGTTTCGGTTTCCCAGTGGCCTAATTTAGCGTGAACCTGGGGCCACTGTTGTGTGGTGTCAGGCGACAAACCTGTGGAGAGAACGCTGAAGCACTTAGCTGCCAACTAAGACGGCATGCGAAGAGCATGTCTTGTGGAATACCACCTTTGAGTTGCAAAGATCTCCAACAGTATTTAAGAACACGCAGTCCACCGCCATCTCCAAACCCGGCATTACTTTGATCCTGTCTAGAGGCTGTGTGCCTGTGCTGTGGCTGCCGGGACGTCCTCCTAAGACGAGAGCCAGTTAAGGTCATCCCCGGTAATAAACTGTGAAGTGACCCCTCTCTACCAGAAAGAATAAAGGGAGGAAGAACCATTTCTGAGGCACTCAGGCTTTGATCACATAAAGGAGGAAAAAGAGTGTCATTAGTTCAACCTGGAGAGCAGAATAAACCCTCTTAACAACCTTAGTGACCCTCCCTGGCTCAGAGGTTCAGCAGGGTCCCGGGTGACTCACTGAACAAAGTCCTGCACATGACATGCGGTGTAGGTTTCCATAAGAGAGGTTTGTGTAAGAAGTAAAGCCAGAATCAACAATTCATTTTCATATGAAAACACTAGTTTATTGACTCAGAAGAGAAAAATCGGATGTTTTTGAGAGCTCACCAAACATGAAACAAAAAGCTGAGTGTCTGCATGGACCATCCAAGCAGTCATCAAAATTAGTGGCTTTGGATTGATTGTTGGACATGTCGGGTGGGAAGGGCCTGTGGATGTGGCTCAGGGCATTTGATTTTAGTAGAAACAATGTTTTAAAGGAAAATGCTTCTGAGAGCATTGTAGTTGAACATTAAGATATTGCCAGCCTCTCTGTGACTGTGATTATAATATGCTTTTATGTAAATGTAGAAGAAATTGTGAGCATATTTCACGGTGGGCTATATTTTCTAGCTGCCCAAGAATTCTTGAGAGTCCATAGTAAATGTTCCTGGTTTGTTTCCTACTGTGTGGTTATATGTTGACCTGGAGACCCATCACTCAAAGCCTTTTGTCTGCTGCAGAGCACCTGTTCATTCAGACCTTCTGGCAGACCATGAGCCGCGAGTGGATGGGGATAGACCGGCTGCGCCTGGGCAGGTACCGCAGGGTAAGACCAAGTGCCTGGGTCCCAGCCCACAGCCCAGCTCCCATGACGGGAGGGACAGGGCATCTCAGAGCAGAGCTTATCTGTGCAGCAGAGTGCACACCAGACTTGGTAGATAAGGGATGGGGTCATCAGATACATTCTGCTCATGTGCCCAGCGGCTGCTCTGTTGGGGCTCTTCAGCTACTGGGGATGAGGTTGGGGGTCCTTAGTGAACATTTCTCTCTTTTTTTTGGTATCATTAATATACACTTACATGAACAACATTGTGGTCACTAGACTCCCCCCATTATCAAGTCCCCCCCACATGCCCCATTACAGTCACTGTCTGTCAGCATAATAAGATGCTATGGAATCACTGCTTCTCTTCTCTGTGCTATCCTGCCTTCTTAGTGAACATTTCTTGGTCTAGAAGTTAAATAGGATTATTGTGGATATTTTTTCACTTTGGGGACTCAGACTGTATCAGACTCATTGGTCTCCTCACTCTGCTGAGCTGATCAGTGTTCCTTACTTCCCCTTTTGTAACAAACATTGTCTGTCTTTAGCTGATCCGTCTGGTCCTGAGGCAGTCTTTTGAAGCTCTGAAGCAAAATGGCTGGGAGGAAAGGTGGGTAACTATTGGGGATGTCATTCGTAAAGTAATCCTGTGTTTTTCAAACCTTTTGATTGATCCGTGCATGTGAATTCCCTGGGCTTTGCCTTCCACTCTGTTGAGCACTGTGAGAGGCAACTCATCCTCACACGAGAGACCTGAGACCCCAGTAGCAGGTCACAGAAGAGCTGAACACCCAGGACGGCCAGCGCTTCACACCGATGTCAGCAGCTGCTCTGCTCCGTGTGAACATGGCCGACCTTACATCGCCCACCAGGCCGTGCAGTGCAGCACTGAACTGTTCTCTTTTGGGGAGGAGAAAGGGCTGGCATGATGTCATTAATAGAACCTCGTGTATTGTCTCTTCAGCCAAATCAAGCTTTTTCTAGATATCCTGATGAAGGAGATCCTGCATCCTGAGAGCCAGGCTCCAAATGGAGTGAAATTCCACATGATTGATATTTATCTGGATGAACTGTCCAAAGTGGGCAGGAAGGAGGTAAGGAGCAGTCAGACATCCTGCCAGCTGTGTGGTGAGACCGCAGCTGACCTGCACGGGGCTCTGACTCCTCTTTGAGCATCCCATGAGCCATGAATGAGGTGCCTGTTGTTGGCTGTGCATGACCAGTGTCAGTGCCTTGCACACCTGCTCGGCCTATCGTTAGACACAGTCCCTCCCCATCTATTAATGTGCAGACACCGCTAATGGGCCACGTGGAAAAAGATTTATGCACTAGGGGTGCACATGGCCGTGTTACTTACAAAACAGATGCACGCAGCCTACACAGTCCAGTAAGAAATTTGATAGCATGAGGAAATGCTCATGATACCCAGTTGAAAAGCACAGGACAAAAGGGCAGTAGGCAAAGTGGTGCAAAAAGGGTGAAACTTTTTCAAGTACACAAAGGGCTGGGAAGGAAGCACATTTGTTATCCAGTGCTTGGGATTTTGAGCAAGTTTTACTTTCTTTCACACATGTTATGCAGAGACCATGCTTTTTTTTATTATTAAAAGAAAATGCAAATACTCTATTTTTAATTCCTTCATCTTACAGTTTCTGGTAGCGTCCACATAGAGCTACTCCATGGAGGAGGGAATGCGCTCTGGGGGTGTGGGACAGCACAGGATGGACTGAGCGGTTTCCTCTGGCCACTTGCCACAGTGCCTGAGTGGCCAGCCCCAGACATCTGGGAAATCCGTGTGGGTGTGTTTTGGGCCTTGGGACCTAAGTCTAAGTCTGATATGACCTATGAGAAATGCAGTGGCTTCTTACGGGCGCATCAGAAAGGAGAAAAGGCTCTTTCCCTCATTCCTTTTCCTGTTTCACTTCTTAATTTCAGCTCTTGGCAGACCAGAATCTCAAGTTCATCGACCCTTTCTGCAGAGTTGCTGCCAAGACAAAGGAGTAAGTCACTCGCACCTGTTTCTACTGCCCCGGTCAGTGCCTAGTCCCAGGTGACAGCCATGGAATTTTCATGGAACTTGTGGCAAGGTGCCTGAGGTGGTCGTCCAGAGCTGAGAGCAGCCGGGCTCTTGATTCTATTCACTAGACCTGTAGCTTTGGATCCTGATCACCTTCTGGCCTTGTAGTTTGACCCCAGTCATCCTAGGCATCACACCCTCCCACACCTGCTAGTCCCATGGCTTCCATCCCTTAGCACGTAGCTGGCTCCTCCAGCCCCAAGTGGTCAGCATGGAAGGGTAGTTAAGAATGCGATGCTGGCTGCCCAGCCAAAGGGTCACCCGGGTGCTAGGTAGGCTGAAATGGGCCGTGCAGTGACTCCCCTCTACCCTTCCCTCTGCACGCCTCCAGGTCAAGTCCAGACCGTTTGATTAACCACATTCTCTCTGCTGTGCTTCCGCCCTCAGCCACACACTGGTACAGACTATAGCTAGGGGTGTTTTTGAAGTCATTGTAGATCAGTCTCCTTTTGTACCTGAAGAGACAATCGAGGAACAGAGAACTAAAGTGGGTAACAGTGGCCTCACTGAAGAAGGGGTACCTGAAAACAAGGTGGCACAGAGAAAGACAATCAGTGCAGAGAAGACAGGTGAGAGAATTTCCTTGAGCAGCCTTGTCTTTTAATAAAGTTTCATCAGACAGTTTTTAATACATTGATACATTTGTTGGAATTAAGGCACTGGCCACAACCCAGCACTTCACGGGGCGGGTCTGCCCCGGACGCCGCCTGAGGAAGCCGAGGCGCGTGACAGCACCGCGTCTGCCCGGCGACGCCAGCCCACGGGCACCTGCGCCTCCGGCTCGCAGGGCTTCCTCCCAGGGCCTTACGCTGTTGCTGCCGCTTTGGGATTTGTTGGTTTGTGGTGTGTCAGTGTTCGGGTGTGTTCAAATATCCCAGAGTGGACTAGTGTCTGTGAGAGGCCCCCGTTGTCTCTGCAGCTCTCCTTCTGGCTCTGAGCACCCCCCCAGGGCTCCTTGTCTTGACGCGTGTGAGCTTCCCCTGTGGCCTGCTGCTGTTCTTACCCTCTTAGATCCGCGGGGATGGCTTGTGGAGCCTGTTTCTAAAGTGGCAAGCCCATAAGAACAGCCTCTAGGTGCACAGCATTAGGTAAATGGATAGGTCAGGTATACCCACACCTTTGAAATGCTTAAACATTTATATGTGCCTTAAACAATCTGGAAGGATATATACCAATATTTGGCTACTTTATGATTATAGGTGATTTCCACTTTGTACTTTGTCTCAATTTCCTACAATGATCATATATAATTTTTTAATCAGAAAAAAATAAGTCTATAAAAAAAATGAGTATTCTCATTTTTAACTTCACTGTAGGGACCTTGAGTGGATGTGTGTGGCCTCCTCTTCCCTGCTCTTTGCCACGCGTCTCTCAGCTAGGGACACTCTCACGGTCCTCGTGGCATGTCCAGAAATCTCTCCCAATGTCATTCGTCAGGTGCTTGTCAGGCACCTGCACCTGTCAGGCTCTGCTCAGCTTCCCAGGGCTGTGCCCTGAGGCCACACCACTTAGCAGCTTCCCCAATTTGAAAAGCATGAACCTTTATTAGAAATTGTTATCTACTTCTCTGTGGCCTTTAACCCTTTGAATTATTTTTTAAGTGCTAAAAGTTGCGTCAGCATGAACTTGCGTTTCCTGAGGCAGCCCCATGAGAAGTTAGAGTGCACCCACAGGGACTGTTACCACAGCCCCGACATACCTGACACGAGGGACAGACTCCCGTGCCTGCCTTCCTCCCACCTCCTGAGCCCTGACCCCAAGAGCTTCCGTGTGCTGGAGCACAGAGGCCGGCAGGGTGTTACTTATAATGTAATTAAAGGCAAATGTGTGCTTTCTTTGTCCAGGGGCTGAAAATCCAAAACCTTTTTTGGGAGGTGATAAATGTATTTGCAGGGCTTTTCTCTGTAAATAAGTTTTAACTTTTACTAAGAGACACCTAAGTGGAAGGTGGCTGCTCTGGAAATAGTCCTTACTGTGTGTTTGAAGAATTTCGTCTTTGATGTGTTTTGATAGCACCGGGCGAACATCACTCCAGAAAAGATAGAGTCGTTGATGAAGGCGAGAGAGACAGCAGCAGAAGCGTGGAGGACCCCAGGCTGCTTCTCCAGGTTGGTGGCAGCCGATGCTGTTCACAGAGTAGAGATACACTGTGGGGGCCCCAGCTGGGTGGGGGTCAGGGTCAGGGCCAGTACAACGCTGAGGCCCAAGGGGGAAAGGCCTTTCTAATCCTTTCAGCCTCTCAGGTCACCTTCCTCGTAGTGAGTTTCCTGGAGACACATTTAAGTATGGAATTTTGAAAGATGTCAGTCTTAATTTGGGCTGGAAGTGCTAAGATTTGTTCTGTTCCATGCAACAAAATCAGGTCAGTGGTACTTTTCAAATAAGGTTAATATGTTACCCAGTGCAAATTGGCATTTAGATTAAATTTACACAGATGCACACCCAGGACCACTTCTGTGGTTTATTTTACCACGGTTTTGGGGTTTTTTTAAGGAAAAATAAATAGAACAAATAAAGAGTAGCTTCTTCCAAGAGTAAATAGAACACGTTTTTCAAAGACACTGCTTAAGCTTAAGCTTTCTATCACCAAGTCCATGCACATGCTTGTTTAGACCCCTGCTGCTGTGAGCCTCAGAGCCCCACATACAGGGTTTTCTGTTCTGCGTTGGTGTGAATCCCAGGCAGGCCACAGGTTTACATTTCCCTTTTTCTTCTCACATAGTTTGACTATAAGGCTGTTGCTGACCGACTCCAGGAAGTAACCAACAGGAAAAACATCCCTCCCTTCAACAGGAAGCGTCTCTCCAAACTAATCAAAAAGTAGGTGACTGGGTAGAGCACCTCACCAATGACCACTTGTATTTACTTATCTCATGGTGTCAAGCCAGCTGTTTCGTGGTCCTGTGCCGTTTTCCTTCATGGCAGGCAACATGCATGTATGAACAAGGGCTTTGTGCAAGCAGCTGCCCCTCGAGGTCTGCACTGCAAGTGCAGCAACCGGATCGCTTTTGCTGTTGTAAGGAGAGACCTAATGATGATGTCTGATAGTAATAGATCAAGAAACTGACAGAAATATACTGCCAAGGTGTTGCCTGTCGCTGCCAGCAGATAGGTGGGAGCTGCCTACTTACCCCTGCTTCCCGGGACGGTCATGCCAGGAACATCCTTGTCGTCATCATGGCTGCCCCGGTACTCCACCGCAGAGCCCGGTGGCCATTCTCGCGGATGACGACAGCTGAGTTTGCTGACCCCCTGTACAGGCAGGCACTGTTCTGAGCACTACAGTTTAGCGCATGTTGAGTAAAGCTCTTACAGCGAGGGGGATATAGTCACTAGTATTATGACAACTTCATATGATAACAGATGGGAACTATACTTACCCTGGTGTGCATCTTGCAGTGTGTAGAATTGTCAAATCACTGTGCCACACAGCTGAAAGCAAGATACTACTGTATATCAACTATCCTTCAATTTAAAAAAACAGAAGGGAAAGCCCCGTGTGATGGCTTCAGTATGTCCCCATTTTACAGATGGGAACAGGGAAGGTAACCAGCTTGTCCAAGATGGCAGCTCCCAGGCGGCGGAGCTAGACTCAGACCTCCTGCCCATGCTCACAGGGCTTTGCCCCAGAACCCTGCCTCCCCACATAGTCCTCTCTGCACCCTACTGTTCTAATGCTCCAGCATGGAGTGGGGTACAGAGCACTGCCAGGCACTCCCCAGCATGAGCGAGGAGTGGATGGGTTGCAAGCAGAGTTCTGGCCTCTTCCACCTTCAGGAGCTGCGACATTTCAGTGCCTTCAGTTTTATTTGGATGCCGGAGGCAGAAGCTAGCTCCCCACAAGCCCTGGACAGTCCTGCCTCTATAGCCCACGTGCCAGGCTGCCCCTTCAGCCCCACTCCTAGAGGAAAAGAAAGTGAACTGACACCCAGATCCCACTCTCGCCTTAAAAGTTTAGTGCACATGTTTACTTACAGAAGACAGAGGCAGTTTCTTTAGGAAATTCTGTTTCCTTTTTCAGATTCCAGGAGCTCGCTGAAGGTGAGGAAAGTCAGACGATTACAACTGGTGATATTCTTACATGAATGTGGATGTTGCTGAGGGCATTTATACTGAATATGGAAGAAAAGGAATGAAAGACTGATTAAAAACCTAGGAAGCTGTAGCCTTTTGGAAGGTCATCAGTTCACTCGCAGCCTTGCTGAGCAGTAGCCCGAGTAGAAGCACAGTAGGGGCCCCTTTCCTGCCCCCTCTTTCCTGCCAGGGACCAAAGCTGAGCCAGAGACAAGACTCCCCTGTCCATGGCCAGGCAGGGGGTAGCCCCTCTGGTGGAAGGAGCCGTGTCATGCTTCCACAGGGCGTTCTGTTATCCTTGGAAGGTTCTGCTTTGATCCTTTATAAAGAAGAAAAGCTGAACTCCAGTGGGTGGGGGTGCCTTCATTTGTGCTTATGATCGCTTGTCCCAGGGGAAAAAGTACTGTCTGTAAGTTTGGTTGCATGTGAGCAAGTCAGTGAGTCATGTGCCTGGGTGCTCAGCGTTGGGAAGCACCGTAGACCCAGCTCGAAGGTGGAAACCAATCGGCCAAGCCCCGGGCACCGAGCTGGAGGGATGTCACCCATGGTGACGGAGCTCTTTCAAGACTGCGGTTCCTGCATTGACACTTTCAGGTTTAGGTTGGAGATGTAGTGGACAGGGAAGAGGAGGCAGAAACTAGGTTAAAAATAATCTGTGAGAAGTAGGAGGGGCATGGCTGGTGGGCCCCTGGGGACAGAGATATGACAGTGTCAGAAAGCTGACTGAGTGGCTCTGCTGTCCCGCAGGTAGTATGCCTCAACTCAGTTTCACTGAGGACATTTCTGCTGGTGAAGATGACCAGACCCTCAGCCCAGGAAGGCCTAAGAAAACAGACAGTAAACTCTCTGAGAAGCCTGGCATGGAGGAAGAGGCAGGTGAGCGCAGTCTCCAGTCGGTGGGGTGCAGAGGAGGGGTGTGAGCTGGCCCCGGGGGGCAGCGTGCCTCTGCCCACTGAGCCCATGTCTTCCTGAGAGCTGACAGGCTAGAGCTATGGCTTTAATGGCTAGGAAATAAGGGCTCTTTGCCGGTGCTGTTTTCTGTGGACCCACACCCAGCCTCCCTAAACCCAAAGCCTTTATTTCCCCGACAGGGCTGAGGGCATGGAGGGAGCTGGGCAGGCACTGCCCTCTGCATCAGTGCTTGTTACCATTGCCCTGGGTCTGTGGTTTTTTACCTTTGGATCTGAAAATTTGCAGAAATATGAGTATTATTTCAGTTCCATTTATATTGAAATAGGCATTAGGAAGGTTTCTAGCCCCCATTGGGGAAGGGAAGGAATGGGGCCATGAGAGAAAGCTGGGTGCCTGGAGGAGGACCCACACTCTGAAGTAAAATGTGGGGCTCTGTCTCCACTCATAGCACCGTGGAATCCCCTGCAAGGCCTTGCTGGGCCTCCCTGGCCTCGGGGTGCTCGCCCACGGGCTTCTGTGTTTTTGTAGGAAACAAGTTCGTTCCTGCTGAGGGAGAGGAGAATGGAGGCGGCGTTCGGAAGAGGAGGAGGAGGAGGGGGAAGAGCCGCCTCCAGCCTGAACACTTAGGGTCCGCAGATGGAGTGTCCCCAGAACAGAATAGAGACAGTGAGCCAGTCGCATGTCCAGGAAGAGGCCAGGAGCTGAGTGTTGGGGAGCCGGGGGCAGAGGCCGTGCCCCAGGCCCACTCAACGAGGAGGCGGCTGAGGGAACGGAGCCCGAAGGCCTGGGGGGAGGGCACGCCGCCGTGCCACCCATCCCATGGGGGCTCTGGCAGTGGTCCCGAGCAGGGGCCTGCACCCCAAGCTTCCCCGGCCGGTGCAGCCCTGATCCTGAAGAGGAAGAGTAAACTCAGAGCCCTCCCAGTCAACGGCAGCGGCCCGCCCACACTGGCATGGCCACCACCCCAGGAGGGCCCTCCAGCCAGCCCAGAAGACGGAGGGGATGGTTCAGCCACCCTGCTGCATGGCACAAGACTGAAGAAACAGAAGGGGGAGCCCAACGGCCTTGACCTCTGCAACCTGTCCAATCAGAAAATTGCCATCTTGAAAAAGAGGAGGAAAATGAAAGAGATGTCTAACTTGGTAGGACACAGTGGTGTGCTGAAGTCCGAAGTCAAGTTCTCCCAGGCTCTGGTAAGGTGGCCAGGCCCAGCTGAGGCTCCCGTGCAGAGGTATTAGCCCCCGATTTATGGGGGCACGCAGGGGACAGGTCAGACCTCTGGGCCAAGGAGCAGTCATGGTTTATTACCAACAAGAAAATAAACAGATGAACAGGATATCCTGTTTTAGAGCGACCTCCCCTCTCCACCTTCCCTCCCTCACACCTGCCCCCAGGCCACTTGGTGCACAGGGGCTGTTGGGGGGCCGGTGCCAGACCAGGAGAGTTGTCCCCATGACCAGGGCAGGCACTGCCGCCCTTGGTGTCACCGGGCAGGCGTGTGTCGGCATTCGAGGCTCGTGTCCCTTTTTCTCATCATCATGGCCAGTCTTGGGCCCCCTTGGCTAAAGAGGAAGCCTAAAGTTCTCATTTGCTTATCTTTCTATCAAAAAGTCCTTCCCACTTGGCTCTCTGGAGCCCAATGTGAATAAGGAATCAGGTCCAGATCTACTCTTGACACCCGCCTCTCTGGGCCTGTGACACGTCTGTAACTGGTGATCAGCCCATACTTTCGCTGGCACACAGCCACGCACATTTGAACGAGCTGCAGCCGCTTGCCCTCCTTAGCGGCAGAGTGGAGTCGTGACAGACGTGACCCACAGAGCCCTGGCCCTTGCGGAATGAGTACACTGAGCCCTGGCCAGTACTCTTTGCATGTCCTGCTTTGCAGCCTCTGTTTACGGGAACTGGTGTAGTCGGTTAGATGCTCTCCCAGGCCTAACTATCTCCAAGTGGCCGGGCAAGTTAGTTTACAGTCAGTAAAGTCAGCCTTTTTCATGTCTCATTCCTCAGGGCCACTGGCAGCCTCTCTTAGGGTTGGAACAGCTGCTAAATAAGTCAAGGTTTCCTCACAAAAAGGCAGTGTGTGTTGTATGTGTCTGATGGGGGGACGGTGCATGTGAGGACACCCCCAGTGGAGTTGCAGAGCACAGGGTCTCCCAGAGCCCTGGACCCCAGTACTAGAGTGGAGCCTGTGCCGTGGGTGGTTGCAGGGTAAAGCCCCAGTGAACGCCCTCCACCTGCCTGTATGGGCCTCCAGAGCCTAACTAGGGTAGTCTCACATCAGACTTCCCATGGGCAGTGTTCTGTGATCAGAAGTGAGGAAATGATTTACTTGATAGATGGTCTCTGAAAGGGAGAAACCTTGAGATCCTGGGGCCTAAGTTTGAAGACAAATATAAATGGGTTCTCATCGCTGGAAAGGTCCGGGATCTCCAGCCCTGTGGGCGTGGCTCTGTGCCGGAAAAGTATTTACTCTGTGAGCTCTGTGCTGTGCCCCATGAGACTGTTGGCAGGCCTGGCACAGGACATGGTGGGGTCCCTGAGCTTGTACTTGGGTCTCATCTGGGGCGCCCTGCTTCCGGCGCCTGTGGGCATGGCTCCTCACCTTCCTCTCACCCCGTGCTTACCTAGGGGAGCAGTGGGGCCTTTGGCCCTGTGAAGAAGAAGATGAGGATGGAGAATGGCTTTGTGCAGTTCGACACCCCCTTCTTACCAAAGCCCATGTTCTTTAGAAAAGCCAAGCGCAGGTCTGCTGCCTCTCCCAGCCCTGCCGTGCAGGTACGTACACCCTCTGACTGCCCCTGGCCAGCCCTCTGCTGGCCCTCTGCTCCCCGGCACAGCCCATTCCTGCCCAAAGGCCACAGTCAATGGCTTTGCACACTGGGTCCAGCCCACTGCTGCCCTCTGACCCCAGCTGTGCCGTGGGCAGGCTTCTTGGCCTCTGCTTCTGTCCCAGGCCAAAGGTTCCTGCTTACAGGGCCCGGGTGCCTCTGGGGCCATAATCTCCACCTTGGGAGCACAGGCTGCTTACTGGGGGGTGGTCTGGGATGGGAAGAGGGATCGGCAGGGGTCTCCAGCGTGACTGACGATGTGCATCTGCGTCAGTAGGACTGCAGTGAGGCGTCACAGAGCCTACAGAAAGCACTGGGGTCTCCTGGAATAAGAGCAGGAAGTGAGTCCTGCTGGGCTCTGGGGTGTGGTTGGAGGGAGGAGCGGGCCCCCAGCCAGCAGGCCCCTGCACGGCCCAGGACGGCTAGGTCAGACAGGACAGCGTCTCAGCTGCCGCTGTTTTTCTCCCATTGTTATTTGTCCCATCTGCAGCTAAAGAAAACACCATCCAGTTCCAAGAAAGTCACCTTCGGGCTGAGCAGGAACATGACGGCAGGTGAGCATGGGTCTGCTTTCCTCTGCGGGCATTTCCCACGGAGGCAGCTGGAGCACGCCCGCTCGGGGCGGGGGTCTTGGCCCGTCCCTCAGAAGTCAGTCCTGCCAAGCTGTTAGGGCAGCCAGGGGAAGTGAGGAGGGCCTTTCGGGGCCTCTGGGAGGAGGCTCCCTGGGGGCAGATGACGTAAAAGGCGTCTCCTCAGGCTGCCTGCCTGCCTGCCTGTAATAGCTCCAGCCGCCTTGGCCCAAGATCTCACGGTCTGATGGCTGTAGCTGCCTCTGATCAAGTTTGGGAACAGTGGGCCTGAGAGGAGAGGAAAAGAGGGTCATTCTTTCTACTGCTTTTAACACTGGTGCCATTCTTTTATTTTTTCAAAGGAAACCAACTTTTTTAAATATGTGAATTAGGGTCTCATTTGGAGGACCACAAGTCAATGTGCACATGTGCAAATATGCCGAGAGGGGTACCCTCTGAGGTGCTCCTCCAGCCCTAGCCGTTGTCCTCCAAGCTGGAGGACGGGAGGGGCAGATGCGCCTGGAAGGATGACTCACTGGGGCTCTTGTTCCATGAACCCCAGCCCCAGGGCCTCCTGCTGGGGCCTCTGGACCTCTTCCTTGGGGGAGCAAATCCGATCACATGAAGCAGTATGGCCAGTGGCCTGTGCTTCCTCAAGGCTCCTAGGGCTGCTGCCTGAGGGGTTTGTAACAGGCACTGCCCTGGCCAGGAGCGAGCTTCCTGGCTCCCTCGGGGCCATGGGAGTGTGACCTGTGGCCACGCCCAGTGGGGACACCATCTGGGTGGGTTGGTGGGGTGGGATTCAGACCCGCTAACACAGCTTTGCTTCACCTGGGGCAGAGTTCAAGAAGACAGACAAGAGCAGCCTGGTCAGTCCCACGGGCCCCTCCCGAGTGGCCTTCAACCCTGAGCAGAGGCCCCTGCATGGAGTGCTCAAAACCCCCACGAACTCCCCTGCCAGCGCTCCCCTGGGGATCAAGAAGCCACTAACCGCCATGCCAAAGAGGAGGCCAACGGCTATGGACTTCTTCTAGGATGGCAGCAGAGTCCTTCTGAAAACTGCTTTTGTACAGTGTTCTATGAATCATATGTTCACAGATGTGGGGCCTCTCTGTTGTTTCAGGACCCCACAGACAGTGTACCGGCCTGAGTGGGGGCTGCCGGGGGCTGCCTCCCACCTCATGGCAGGGCGCAGAACGCAGGGGTGCCCAGGGGAGTTCAGCACGCAGCCGGCACACTGCCTCCGTGATCAGGGTATGCAGAGCCGCCCCGGCGCTGTTTGCCGTGCTTGGCTGTCCAGCTGCCCCTAGCCTGATGGCCTCTTTCTTTGCCAGCACCCAGGGCTGTGTTCCCATGTTCTGGGGGTGTTTGCCAGCTTGCGATCAGGATGATCCTCAAAGCCAAATTGGCAGCGCCATCCTGTCCTGTCCACGTGTCCTCTGCTGGGGGATGAACCTTCACGTGGGGCAGGGAGAGAGGGGCCCCCGCCCTCAGGGCACTTCTGCCCTGTTTCCTACCTCTCCGGCCACCCCAAGTGTCCTCACTCTGAGAGCCAGCGCCCTCCTCAGCTCTCGCCTCGAACTCTGGCCTGGGCACCGAGCATACTCATGCTGTCACTGTGCTCAATCGCCCTTTATATACAAGTGTCAAGCCAGCAACCTAAATGGCTGGCGTTTCCCAAAAGAACTTTCCCAGCTCAGATTAAAACTCACTTCTTCGGAGTTATGGCGACAGTGTCTGTAAACCTGGGTTCCTGCTGGAAGGCGGAACTTGACAGCCTTTAAGAGTTGCTAGTGCATATTTGTCATAGCTACCTAGTCCAAAATGTCGAAGCTTGCACTTACAGGATCTTATTAAGTTCTTATTTTAGCTAATTACAAAATTCGGGGGTGGAAGGCACTCAGACTTCAGTTGAAGAAGCAGAAATGGAACTTAGAGCCTGCTTGAAAGCTGATCTTTGGGGAAGCCATGTCTGCCCAGGACCCAAGTGACAGGTCAGATGAAGACTCAAAAATCAGGTGGTCCCCCAAGGAAGGCCACTGGGTCCTTGGGCTCTTTCTTGAGTTTGCACAATAACATAAATGGCAGGCCTGAAGAAAGGATGTGTAATTTGGGGGCATGTCTTTTGGGTTCACAGGTGCTTGGGGATCTTGGGCCTCCTGGAAGTGGGAGCTGTCTATCCCCATCCCCTGTGCAGGAATCCCAGTTTCTCACCGAAATCTGGGCCAGCCTTGCTGTGTTGCCCCAGTGGTCCTGGCCACAGCCCTGGGTGACAGGAAGCCTGCTGGGATTGCAGGGGTCTGTGGACGGACTCGTTCCCTTAGGGTGCAGCTTCGTCTTCCAGGACCAAGGTAGACAGGTGTCAGGGGGCTGACCTGCCCAGAAGGCTCCAGTGAGGAGGAGGTGTTGCCTTTGCACCCTGCCTGCTCTGCAGGAGAGTCGGTCACAGTGAGACCATGAGAGAAGGAACAGATGACACCACGCTGTTAAGTGTCACGAGGAGCCTCACATTAGCGTGTCATTGAGGGTGGGTTTTAGGGGCTGCACGGGGCATGGTATTTACAGTCTCTCAAAACCAGACCTGATAGTATGAAAAGACTGTATCTGAATACTCAAATATTTTTAACTTCATTTAAAAAAAGGTTTTATTATCCTTTGTCAGATTATTTTTCTAAAAATTATTTCAGCTTTAAAGGTGGGTCATATAGCTGATGGGCCATGTAACCCAGCCATGTTACAATGTCCTAGCAAGACCTTCCAGGGCAAAATGGCACGTATGTTCTCTGGATGAGTGCAGGGGCTTGTCTGCATAGCGTTTACGTATCCTCTGTTCTGAGGCGTCAGTGAGCCAGCACCTCCGTTAGCATCACACCGTGGATGTGGGCCCAGGATTGGCAGTGTGCCTTGCGCGTCACCTGTCCTCTAAACCTGCCCCAACGCCCATTTTATGGGTGAGTTGAGTTGGTTTACTCTGGCTTTTTTTTAATGCCTAAATTTTGGCAACAAGGGAAGAAAAAAAACGATTTTTTAAAATTCTCATTGCATATACAATGTGTCACATAAAGAAATGTATTTAGAATACCAGTTTTCTATCTGATGCTTGTTATTTTCCTAGGCAAAAACGCCAAGGGCACTTGGAAGCACACAGTTTAAGTTAATACTGGTGATCGTACAGCGCTTGGTAAAATGACCACCCTCCCCCACCCTGTGTGCCTGGTCAGTTTTGTACCCATGGGCATCACCTTTTACAAGGAGATTATCCTTTCTAACTTTTACTGAACTGAGAGTACAAAGAATATTTTAAAAATCTGGAAGTAGCTGTTGGTGTCAGAAATAAGAAATTCAATCCATCTTTTTAATTTTTGTGTGTTTTCCTGAATTTACCTGACTGCTGGCAAGAAAGTTTGTGATCGATTTGCATTGGTGTCTACAGGACTCTCGGCACTCATCGAAGCCAAGTCCAATAAAAATAATCAGTCTTTGCCCACAGATTTGTATTTGACCTTTGTATTGACGTTTGTCAGGGTGCACAAAAGGCTTCATCTTCAGGAGCTGCTGTAACGCGGCAGGACTTGGAGCGTGTTGGCATCAGTCCTGAGTTCTTGGAACGACTGCGGGCACCTGCCCATCCTGCATCCGTCACCCAGAGCCTGAGGGGGCTGCTCTGGCCACCAGGCATCAGCATCGCACCACGGCCTTGGGTGGCAGAGGCATGTGGGGAAGTGCCCCCGCCCTGGGGAGGCTCCTCAGCTCCATCCCAGGGAAGTGACCACTGCAGGTGCTGAGGGTACAGTGGTATTGGGCAGGCGGCTTGCTCTTCTGGGTGTCACTAGTGGGCAGGCCGAGTGTGGGCATCAGGGTATTAATACCTACCTGTTCCGCGAACAAACTCAACTGCGGTCTGTATCCCAGACAAGTCCACAGAGGGCCACGTAACCCATAAAACAAGTAAAAGGCGCCCCCGGTCAGTCACAGATCCTCACCTGTCCCTGAGCCTCAGTGGTGGGACCACAAGTGTGGCTTATTCACTGATTCCTCTGCAGTGGGCATTTAGGTCCAGTCTGTTACAAGTGTAGCTCAGGTGACAGCTGAGATGTGTGTCACACCCTCATGGAAACTGAATACTGCCCAGAGAGGGTTCTGTTCTCTAGGATACCCAGCTTGATCATGGGAGGCCCAGGGCCTCCTCGCCTGTGGGGACCCACCCCCCCGAAGGTACTGCAGCCACCAGGGAGCAGCTGTTACTGGAGGTTTGGGGGTACATCACTCACCCACCACAAGCCTGAAGTCATGCTTAAAATGCCACTTTTCAGAGGCATCCACCCCTGGGGATTTCTCAGCATTTCCAGTGACAGCTCTTAGCCTACAGCCCACCGTGGCTTCTGTGATCCGTAGACATCTGCTGTCCTGCATTCCCATCTCAGTCTACACAACCATTCTGCTGCTCCTGGCCCCCGTCACATGCTTAGCTCTGGCCCTGCTTTTCCACATGAGCTCACATGTTGCTCGGCTTAAAACCGCAGGAGCCACCTCCTTAGATGGGCTGCATGTCTGCGTTTCCCTCCACACAGACAGTGCGTCCTCTCCACCGTTGGTTCCCTCTGCAAGCCTGCTGAGCGCCCACTGTGTGCCGCAGAGGTGACAGCACAAAGTCAGGGCCCTGATGGAGCCGACCTAATGGGGCCACAGACAAGAGAAACATGCTGTCAGCGGAGGATGCACTCCACGTGGGAGGCAGGAAGTGGGGTGCCACCTTACAGACGATAACCCCCACCCCGCAGGTCTGGCCAGTTGTGTACAGATGGGTCTCAGACTTTACAAACGTCCTGTCCTCAGTTTCTACCGAACTTAGAGCACAGAAAGCACAATCTGGACACAGTTGCTAGTTTTTAAGTGTTGGAAAGAATATTAAAGTGAATCCATGTTTTAATTTTTATGTGCTTTTTCTTAACTTACCTGACTATCCTGGCAAGGACACTACAAGAAGGTAATATTTGAACAGAGGCCAAAAGAGATTGAAAAGGGAACCACATGGGTCTCCGGAGGAGGCGACGTGAGCAGAAGAAACAGCACCACATAAAGGCCCTGTGGCAGGTTCCTGTTTAGTGACTTCAAAGGCAGTGAGGAGAGGCCGGACTTCCAGAATGGCTGTCTGAGGAGCTCAGGGAAACCTCCCAGGGAGAGACATCCGGTGTGCCAGTCAGAAGTAGGAACCACATCCATTAGGAGTTTGGGAATTAAGCAACGGACTTACAACAAATGGGGAGGAGAGGCGTTTGTTCAGTAAAATCCACAGAAGCTCAGTGAGAATGGTGGGAGCCTGTGGTGATGCTTCAGGGACCCAGCAGCGGGGTGCAGTGCCCGCCTCTCCCATCTCCCTGGGTTGGAATATTGGTTCCCTGGAGACTCTGCAGCCCAGGAGTTCACCGTTGCTGCTTCCGCAGCCACTGAACGACTGGTGCCTGGGGGTGCGGAGGGTACCTGCTAAGCCTGTCCGCTCAGTTCTGGGAGCTATAGGAGTTTATCCCAGGGGAGCCTTCCCTTCTGCCAGGCTCCACACTTCCTGGAAGGTAGTTCCGTGATGTCACTGTTCCTGGACAAGGAAATGAGGCTTGGAGAGGTCAGGCCCTTGCCCAGACCTTACAGCTTACGGTGCCGAGCAGGGGTCTGACTCAGGCTCACCTCTGCAGATCCCAGTTCTGACCTGTCACCCAACCACCAGGCCCTGCGTCCTGAGAAAAAACAAGTGGTGTGTGGCCACGGCCATCGTCACGCCGAACCACCCGAAATCTCACGCAGCCTCTGTTGTGACTCCCTCTCTTGTCCCCGGGCGCCTTTGTTCTGACCAGGAAATAACCAAGGGTCAACGGCTGCATCTCCTTGCTGGGTCCTGGGTCCAAGTTTCTCTTTGTCCAGAGCAGCTCCTCCCTTGTTTTTTCTCATAACACTGTATTTTTGAGGAATGTGTCTTACATTGCCCCATAGCCCAGTAGACTGTGATCACCCTCGGGGTGGGCCTGAGCTTTCAGGGGTCATGTGTCCCCTGACCTTTCCACTCTGTCTTCTGGGGTCACGACCTTTCCCCTTCGACCCAGGGACCCCAGCGGGGGAAGCCCTGTTAGTCTGCCCCCCAGGGCCATGCAGGCGATGCCTCAGATCCGTGGGTAGCCAGTTGCCGTGACAGCCAAGCTCAGTGTCCCAGCTTTTCTCAGGAAGCCAGTACACAGAGGGGCCTTCCTTCCAACTCCAGGAAGGATGATTTCTCCCTGGCCCAACACCAGTACTGGACCCCTTAGGGGGCCAGCTAGTTTTCACCAAGACCTAGGCCTGGGGGCGGCCCAGGCCCAGCACACATGCCAGCCGGGTCCTGTGTCTCTGGGGAAGTAACCAAAGGAGGCCAGTTCCCAGCTGGCCGGACACCGCATGGGGGGGATGAATGGAAAATTCCGACCTGACAAGATGTTGCCTCCCCAGAGGCCCTGCCTCTCCTCACACACATTTTCCTCTAAGTTTTATCGTAAGCTGCAGACCCACCTAGCACCTCAGAGGCAATACATTCTGGATTTGGCACATCAGGCAGCGGCCATGGCTGGATCTCATGGTAAGTGGATGGAACCTTGGGATAAACGTTCCAAGGTTTATCACCCCAGTGATATTTCGCCCCAGCAAAATATCACTTTTCTGTAACTCAAACATAAGCCAAGTCAAAGTTTTGTTTAAAAACACAGTAAGAATGCAGAACAGTGACAACAATGACTAGGCTTAGATGTTGGCAGAACCTGTGAAGCTTGCAGGAACCAGGTCAGCACACCCCGCAGTGCCCTGCTGGGGACCCGGAAAGGTGGGAAATGCCTGCTCCCTCCCTGAGCCCCCTCCAGGAGCTCCCACCTTGGGCAGCAGCTGCAGCCCCATCAGGGAAGCCCCACCTGCTGCAGATGCCTGCCACCTGCCATGACAGAGTCCCAGAAGCCCTCCTTGGGTGCACTGCACAGAAGTGCTGGGGCACCAAACACAGGCATGAAAGGTTGCGGTGGCTGGTCAGGGCCCAGGACAGGCACCATGGAAGGGAAGGGGCGTAGCCAGTGCCATCGAGCGGAGAGCAACCCAAGCCATGAATACGAGTCACAGGAGCCTTATTAAAAAAAAGAGAGAGACAGGTAAGTCGATCTTAATAATACATCTTATTTACCCCAAACATTGCCGTTTCAACAAGTGATCCAAAAAAATTGCTAGTGACATTTTGCAGCCTTTTTCTCATAGGAAGTCTGTAGCACCCAGAATGTATTTTACGCCAACCAGACATGTCGCTAAGGACCAGCCCTGTCCAGGTGCTCCAGAGCCCAGGGATGGGAGCTTGTCTGCCTAGAATACAAGTGGGGGCACTCGCAGAGGGGCCCAGGTCAGGGAGAGGTGTGCAGGCCGAGCAGAGTGTCCTGGCTGGTCCTGGGCACATGTCAGGGACCACAGAAGAGCTTCCCAAAGGCCCAGCAGGGGTTGAGGTTGGGGGCCAAGCAGCAGGCAAAGGTCTCAGTCCCGACGACAGGGAGTCCAGAAGGGACGTGGGACCCTGGTGTGCCCCAGAGCTGCCCCAGAGAAGGCCGGCTGCCCCTTCTCGGGGTTACCATGTGCATTTTCCTCCGGGGAAGCAGAGCATACTGAGACCCTGAACTCAGCTTGCACGTTTATCAGAGGCTCCGAACAGGCCTTTTGTTTCTAGGACTCGCTCTTTTTCTGAACCGGTCTAAAAATTGCTGCAATTCTTCCTGGCTTTAGTCACTGCCTGGTGACTAAGGCTCCAGTCTGCCAATCTTTAAATCCTATGATTATTTCACAACCTAGGTTCTTGAGAATAAAAGCTGAAAATACTCTCCACTTACAGCTCTGGGATTTGGATCCCATTTTACACGCCCCTGCTGAGCGCTGCTGATGGCTGCCACCGCTCCCAATGTCCTGGCAAGTGACTCGCTGCCCAGCACTACTCTCAGAAAAGGCGGCAGGCCCAACACTGCTGCCTGCCCCATACCTGACCATTAGTGCGGAAGAACTGGCGCCCCGGCGCCCCTCCCCACAGGCAGTTCTGGCAGTGCTGCCTACGCACGGGAGCCCCTATGTTTACCCTGAACGAGAGGCCCACGACAGCATGCTCAAACCTGCTGCTAAAGCTGCCACCAAGAACGGGGTCTGAGACGGGGATGGGACTGTGCTAAAGCTCCGAGTCTTCTCAAGGCACCAAAGTGCCCTCAGCTGCCTCCAGAGCCACTGGCCTCCCGCCCTGGTTGCAGCCTCAGCCACCCTGCTCTCACTGCCCTGCACTTGCCCACCTGTTCCTGCATGGCTGGAAAGCCCTTCTCACTCTTCCTGGCCAGCTCTGGCCCCCAGAACCACATGGAGGTGCCCAGTGAAACATGGGCTCTGGGGGACCTCCCTGCAGAGCTGGGACCCCTGCCCCAGCCTTCGGATTTCTTGACCCTAGTTTGTGTGGGTGAGGC